CCGTCGTCTAGAACAATGTTCGGCGTGACAGCTCTGTTCTCACAACGTCTGAAGACAAAACAACGTTTATCGAGGCATCTTTCATCTTCTTTTATTCCTCAACTGTTGGAATGAGGAGAACTTGTTTTCCCTGGAAGAGGAGTGTGTTGTTGCTTTTCAAATGTGAGTCATCAAAACTCCCACTATTGAGCCCACAATTGACTTGATGTTAAGGCAACGTCAAAACACCCAGAATATTTAGTGACTGCGGGTACCGACATTGCAGAAGCAAAGATAAATTGAGCCCTTATCAGCTGCAACAGTTTACTGTCGGGCACTATAATAGATATGCATCATAATTCACTGCTATTGGGTCAGAAATGTGGCATTCACAATGTACTGTCCAAGTTTATGGCGCCGCTAAATGCAAATTAGGTTTCAGGGTGAACTTGGCGTTTGAATTATGAAGGCGCCCACCGGATAAGATTCATCGCATGCTCTCTACGACGTGCAGCGACGCTCTCGTGGGATTGCGCGGGTGGATCAATGTATTGTAATGGAGGTTTGACTTTGTGAAAAACATCCTTTCCGTTGTGCCGTCTCTGACTCGAGTTCAATTTAGAATTTAGGGATATAGTGGACACGTTTATTAAGCGTGGCTTCGTAAAATGATTGTAAGTTCCTCAGGTGTAAACAAGGGATAAGTGGAAGAGTCAGAAGATCAGAACACAAAATGCTCAGTGAGGCACAAGAGTCTGTTGTGTTTCCTGTATTGGGCCCAGATGCCAATTTATTCTTATTCTGCCACATGGCCAAAAGGTTGGAAATAAGAAATACAACAGCCAACATTCTCCTTCACGCTGCGATGTCAAAAGAGTGTTGGGAAATTTTGGAATTCGACTCCTGATAATACGGATGACCTTTCCCCTGCGTTCATTGACCTTTCCCACATGTTCATTGTTCGCATAGTCCCAGTTGAGCCTGCGGCATCAAACCAGGGTGGTGATGTTTATCATCGGCATTGCTACAGGGACGAGCTTCATCCCAACCCAAGACAGCAAACCAGGGGAGTGACTTTCACGCAACGTGTGTGAGGTGCATCACAAGTCTGGTTGGAGGTTATATGTAATTAACTCTGCATCATGGTTGCGCTGGTGCAAACAAACAGCACGCTATGTTTGTGCAGGCAGGGAGAATGCACATTTACTGCATTACTAAAATCCTTTGTTTACTACGTGAAAAAAAAGAAATACTCAATGTGTCAGCTGTGTTAGCTTTTAAACATGACCCAGATGTGTGCAGAGAAGCTAAGGGACTGACACTTGATGTTTGAAAGGGCTTACAGTGTTTAAAAGGTCACCTGTGCTACTGTGCATACACACTTTGCATGCACACCGCACACATACACACACACACATACTTGGACAAATGCTAAAAGAATAGCATTTAAAGTAAACTGCAACAGCTATTGGATTCCAGTAAAGCCCTTTAATAATGTCACCAAATAAAGTAAAGTTTAAGAGAGCTCTCCCCGTCTGACAGGATTTTATGAATTGATATTTTGTGTGGTACTTCTTGTCGGGGTCACAGCTCAGCTCGGGTTTTAACAGCAGCAGTGCACAACCCAAGAATATCAATGTCAGTCGTGCCATTTTGAATACCAAGGTGCGGGAGAGGAGCTGCACTGAGCGGACAATTATTTCCTCCGAAACCCACAGTAATAAGCAGAACACATTGTGATTACAAAACACAGAGGAGTGTGTGTGAGTGATGCGGTGGAGAATTCATTTGATAAAAGGCCAGTTCTCGTGTTCCAAACAGCAGCGCATCGCTTTTCTGGAGACACGACCTTTCCTTTGTCGATCATTTACATCTAAACATCCCCCCTCCTCAGTGGAACCACACAAAAACACAGAATAAAATAACAGAAAGTTAAAGGAAAATGCCTGTCAATAAACAATCATTCAGCTAGAAGGAGAAATAACAGAATAAATATCACCAAGAGAGCCAACACACAGATGTAGACACCATCCGTCCCATTAGGACCAGTCCACACAGTCTCTGTCCCAGTAGCACCACTCAACATAGTCTCTCTGTCCCAGTAGGACCAGTCCACACAGTCTCTCTGTCCCAGTAGGACCAGTCCACATAGTCTCTCTGTCCCATTAGGACCAGTCCACACAGTCTCTCTGTCCCAGTAGCCCACACAGTCTCCCTGTCCCAGTAGGACCAGTCCACACAATCTCTCTGTCCCAGTAGGACTAGTCCACACAGTCTCTCTGTCCCAGTAGGACCAGTCCACACAGTCTCACCCAGCACCCCACTACTCATTCTGACACAACAAACCAACGTGTCTGATCATGACCCTCTTACCAAACCACCCACTCTCTCCTCCATCCTCACACAAGGAACATCTAATTGTATGTGTTTGTCTTTGGTTATTGTTGTTTTCAGCGCTTGCCTTTCTGCTGGGGACTTGATTTTCATTTCTCTTTTGGGACAACTCATGCAAGCCCACCCACATTTCTGTCTTCCTCTGCGTAGCTGTGATGCGTCTTTGCTTTCGTTTAATGGCGTCTTTACACATACATAAACACCAATCTTCACCCAAACTCCCGGGGGGGCGGGGAGGGGGGGGGGTTACCCAACAGGTTATGCATTCAGGTGGCTCAGATAAAAACCAAGCCTGAGGTGAAGCAGCCACGCAGAACACGAATTCAGGACCGCAGTCGGCTCAGGGCGGGCCCACGCACATCTCAATGTGTGGCTGATAGCTTCGGTGCAGGAATCTGGAGTCATGCTGCCGCTAAATATAGACAAAGGTTTTATGTAAGCCGAGGTGAATCATTCCATTCCACACATTTCAGCACATTTATTCACACACACACACACACACACAGAATAAGTGACGTGGCACAGGTAAAGGAAACACAGGCATGTGTTAAATATCCGCAGTGCTCATCAAATTCATTTAGAGAAGTGACAGCATGGTACACGCCCGCTGTCTGTCACATTTATACATGTGTGTGTGTGTGTGTGTGTGTGTGTGTGTGTGTGTGTGTGTGTGTGTGTGTGTGTGTGTGTGTGTGAATGGGTTGATCCAACTCCTTACCTGATTGATTGGATTTGTGTGGAGGGGTTGTGGATTTATCCTTCACATGGGAAGCGTCTAAACAAACGGCACACACACACACACACACACATGTATAAATGTGAAACACACATCAACACACTATTTGTTTTACTCGAGCCTAGTGGACGGAGGAGTGGGGGGTGGAGGTGAGTACCGAGCACCTGAGTGGATGCAGCGCGACCGCGAGCACAAAGTGCGCTAACAACACAGCCCCGGATTATTGATCTTGTCTGCCGCAAAATAATGAAGAGGGGAAGTGTTAAAATTCCAATTAAGAGTGCGGGGTGAGGGATGGGTTTACAGCTGAGGAATGACTGGGAGAGAGGAAGTAGAAGAAGGGTGAGTCGTCAGAGGAAGGGAGAGAGAGTGAAGAATCAGGTGGGAAAGATGGAGAGACGCGTCGGAAACAGAAGAGACGATTTGTTTGAGGTACAAAGAAACGGAATGGGGGGAAGGGGGGGGGGACGAGGGGGGGGGGGGGGGGGGGGGGGTGCATGCGCATGACAGAAAGAGGAGCATACAAGGAGAGAGGAAAGGGACTGAATTTCGGTGATCATGGCAACCAAGTCTCCTCCTCCTCCTCCGGAGAGAGGACCTTTGACATTGCCAGGTACCTTCAGAGCCCTAATTACCCCTCTCTCTCTCTCTGACAGACACACACACACACACACACACACACCTGTACATACATAGAGGAACCTGCTTCTCTGACTGACCACATGCATCAAAGCTGCAGACACGCCGGTGTGCCACTGCTGTCAACAGAAGAAAAGGAAAGGTCACTCTGAATGCTCCCTCAGCCTTTGTCTGGAAGGATCAGAGCATCTCTCCTAAAATCAGCCTCACACACGTTGCCCTCTGTTACATCAGATTAAATAACGGAAATACACACAGACACACGTTTAAAAAAAAAGGTGGCTGGTTGAAAGGACGGGAGGGTGTATCTCTGTGTATCTCTGTGGCATCCCGTGCATGACGGACATCTGGTCAGCCACAGATTGACAGCATGCCGGATCACAGGAGGGTTTTTATGTGAAATATCACTTTTTTCTTCACAGTCTTGAGTCAGACCATTGTGGCAAGACCACGCGGTGTCATATGGGTTATTTTAATGGGATTTATTTCTGTAACCCGGATACTGGTAAAAAATGAATGAAAAGGTCAAATCAATATGGATCCACAGGTTTTTTTTTGAGTGGTCAGACAACTTCTGCATACACACACACAACATTTTGTGTGTGAATTCCGCCCTTCAGATTGTTCGTCATTTCAATATTTTAACCAATGGGTGACCGTTTTTCCCTTCCTCCGAGCAAATGTCATTAATACATCAATGGCACCATCTACTGGCTAAAAATGGTAATTATGTTTGTTTTTTCTTTGGTTTTCGTGATGTACGCAAACCGACGGAAAAAGATCTAGACACATAGCTGCAGTCTAATTTCAAAGTCTGCCTTTGTTTGATAAGAGGTGGGATGTCGTCTCCATCCATGTTGATATGGACCTAAACATTATATTCTTCTGCTGAATAATCATCCATCCATCCATCCATTGTCAAACCGCTTATCCTGCACACAGGGTCGCGGGGGGGCTGGAGTCAATCCCAGCCAACTTCGGGCGATAGACAGGGTACACCCTGGATTGGTCGCCAGCCAATCGCAGGGCAACACAGAGACACACAACCATTCACACTCACATTCACACATCTACGGGCAATTTTAGAGTCACCAATTAACCTGATCCCCAGAGATTAGTTGCTGAATAATCAGTAACTGTTAAATAATAGTTTGCACCAATAAAGAAAGATAGTATTTCTGCTGTGCAAGAAAGGTACTCGCTGATGGATGATGTGCTTGTTTAACAAGTTTAAGGAGTCACAAAAGTCACATGTTTATGATGTTCATGCTTTAATGGGCAAGCATTACACTCAGATATAAACCGGAATGTCTGGGAGGAAAAAACAACAAAGCATGTCAAATTCTTAAGCACCTTAAAGAACCCTGGATGATATATGAAGTACTTCTCAACTAAAACATTGCAAGCTGCAGAGCAAATAACAGTCAGATAACGTGGCCTCGGGCTACATATGCGCAGTAACAGTGTTGAGCCCATGAGAGAATAATCACATGTCTGTCTGATCCAATCCTTTTTTTGTCTGCTTGCATTGGCACATGTCAACAAGCTACTTTATTGCATCATCCTGTTTGTATGATAAACATTAAGGCACTACTGATATCACATAACATTCTAGACCTTAATAGCGGGGCCTGGGGTCGACCCGACGTTACACTAATTGAAAAAGAAAGAAAGCATGAATTTCAATTCCCCCAAATTCCAGGGTGGCTGCAGGTTTGCTTGATCTCAAAGCTGGTGACGCGGACCTCCCCATCGAAGCCGATGCACGAGTACTTCTCTGCGCCCATGCGGTTGGGGAAGTGGATCTTTGAGCCATCGGATAAAGTCACCTGGAACTCCGTCGGGGCGAATTCGATGACGACCTATGGTGGCGGGATGTGCGAGAAGAAATGAAGAGGAGGGAGAATACTTGAATGAATGAGCGTATCTCTGCCTCATCAAAGTAATGTAGATGAATATCACAAATCTCAAAGTTATCAGACGTTCAGTGACACATTTTCCAACGAAGGTCACTAATAGATTGGAGAGCGTTGTAGCACATACCTGCAGACAGATACACACACACACACACACACACACACACACACAGGAGCTCTCACCTTGAACTCCTCTCCCTGGTGGAACGGAAAGCCTCCCTCGCGGTGCTCCTCACCCCAGCTGCCTTTCTGGTAAGAGTTGCAGACCACAGCATTCTCGTCTCCCTTGGAATTGAAGCGAGGGTTGATGTGCATCGTGATCTCCGTCTCATCAGGGCCGATATTGATTGCAAAGCTGTGGCACGAAGAAACAAAAAAATCGCTTGATTTAAATGGCTGCTTGTATTTCATGTGAGAAGACACAAGGAGCCTCTGCGCGGGCCGTCTTCTCATCTGCTAACCGTCATCTTCATCAACCCCGCTTCCCGGAGGTGAAGTTTACAGGTCACCGACCGCAACTGATTACAGGTTCCACCTCCAGATCCGTCGGGCAGTGAGTGCATTGAAGATCGGCCCTCACATTGAGTTTAGTCACAGAAGTCCACACAGAAATGAGTACATAAAGTAGTAAGTAGGACGTTTGACTGGGCTCAGTCACTTCTGTCGTCAGGACTTACTTTGTAGCATCAGGCTTGGGGACTCCAACAATGGTCAGGGTCTCTCCGGCCTTGAAGGACATGTTCTTTATGATCATACCCTGCGCAAACAAAACGAGGGGAGTTTAGTCACACCGTTAGTTATTGGGTGGAAATACTACTCTATTGTTACTACATCCAAATTGTGTTATAGCTTCGTGCAATAAGCAGCCCCGACAGTAGCTTGAGCCAACGCTCCTATCCCCACTTCATCCTTAGAAATAAACCAACATGTGTTTTCTATTATACTCCCACCAGCCCACAAGCCCAATATTCCAGCTCCTCGTCCTACCGTTGCCATGGCCATTTTCCTCTACGTGGATTTTGGCAGAGGCTAAGAATGTTGAAAAAGGATAGGTTGGACTGAGTAATATTTTCCTAAGTGAAATACTGGACGACAAGTATACACGGTGGGAAAAAAGGCTGAGGCGAGCAGAAAACCTCAGCTCGGGTTGTTGCTGCGGATGTGCAAGAACTGTGCTGAGCCAACAATAGGAAATTGCTTTTGAGCAATCTATTGTGTGATTGGGAAACACGGGTCACGCCACCATTTGAGATGTGTTCTGGGGGACAGAGATGGCGCTCCTTTGTGGGTTCAAAATGAAAAGCAGAAGTTTATGAAATATTGAATGAAATGATGATTCTGAGCCGAGAAACTTCTGGTCACAAACACAGTAACAAGCAACAGCAAACATTTCTTTTGCCGCTGTAAAAGCGCCAAACTGTGTTTGAATGATGAACCAAACCACGAAATGAACAGGAGGGTGAAGGGATCCAATGACGCGGGTTAGACGTTCCTCCCATGTTAGAGACGGGGTATAATGAATGGCACCGGGGCTTGAGCCGCGTGGGGCCGGGCCGAGGTCAAAGCTGGCAGTCGGCCTGCGTCGCTCCCAAACAGCTGTCTAAAGGAATCTGAGTGTTGCATCCCATTAAGGAATGACAATTGGTTTCACCTCGGACTGGCACAGTGATTGAATCTAACACAAGTGAGTGTGTCCAAAAAACACACATCCAGAAACAAGGTCATTATGAATGATTCAAATCCTGCTAATATTATATGATGATTAATAATTGAAATAGACCTTTTCAGTCTAAGAGACACTCTGGTAGAATCATGCTTTTCAGTCCGAGAGGGCAACATGAGAATTACATTATGCCAGCATCAATTCTCGACTTTATTTTAATTTGATTTAAACTCACTGCCCCCATTCTAATCACATGTTTAGCTCTGTATCCAGCAAAAAGCCAGAATGATACCGCATTGTAATCTACCGGGTTTATAAATACCAAGGGACCAGAACGTGTTGCTGGCAAATGTTCAGCTGACAAATGAACAAATGTTAGGACGTTTTTTCTGTTTTCCAGCGTTACACACGTATTGCAGGAAGAATGTACCAACCTAAACAGCTGACTTACATTCAATGCATTTGCTGATTGCACGAGGTGACTAATGTGAACGCATGTGCGCTCTGTTAAGAATACTTTGACCATAAAAGGCAAATCTAAGAAGCCCAGAACTCTCAAAAGAAAAAAAGCAGCTATTAAAATGTGCAATGTGCCGGTTTAAAGCAGAGGTCAGCTGGTTCAGTGCCACTATTAAAATAGAAGCTTTTTGCTATCTGAGTGAGGAGATTAGTTAGTGACAGCAGAGCACAGGAGCACAACAGTGTTGTCAGAGTTTCACTTACGTTCATCATTTTTGCAGATGTAGTCACTCGCGTCGGGTGGAGAAGAAGTGAGAGTGGTGCAGGGCCTCGACTCACTGCAGCCAAGCGGGATATATACAGTGTGGGAGGTTCTTCGGCCTGAGCGACGTGCCAAACAGCGAGCAGAATCAGGCCACCAGAAAACATCGGCCAATGACGTCGAAGCGTCGTTAAAATCCATAAATAACTGTTTCGGTGCTTGACAAGTGATTGCAGACCTCAGTGAAGGGAGGTTATCGGGTGATATCAGACTATTACATTGTAACCTGGTGGTGTGGAGTTTGACTGTGAGAGGGGAAACTAGAGTGACAGATAAAAATAGAAACGCTTGTGTTGCTAGGGAGACGACTAAATATTTGGCACAGTGAATCGCCTTTGCTGTTAACAGTTTACAGTCGGGTGATACGTTTGAGACCAGCCGGTCTGCAGCAGAACTTGAGTTTAGAGGGAAAGAGGTCGAAGTGGAATGTGGAAACTGACTCTGACTCGTGGCCAGAGACATGCAACACATTTTTATCAGCTGACATACGAGTGTTACAGCTGCTGTGACCCAGTGAGGGAGCGAGCCACATACACGTACGCTGCAGTTTGATACCCTATTATGTCATTTAGATTCAAGGCAACCAACAGACATATCAAAGTTACTCATTAGACTTGATGATTGATTTAACGGTGTGTCTCTTTAGGTACATTATGAAGCTATCCAGGGGAAGTGGCTGCACAGATGTTCAGTGTGGCACAAGGATGTTATTTTTTGGCCTGGCCCAGGACGCAGTCTTATGACAGTCAGCAGGTCTAATCACAGAGAGGGCGTACACAGTTAACAAGGAGGAACACAGCCAGACACACACAAACCCACACACACGCACACACTGATCCTCATTGCTGGATATACAAGTGTTGATTGTGATACTGGACTATTGTCAATCTGCATTGTTACGCTTTGCTACGTATTACTACCTCTGTGAAAGTAGTAGTTTTTTCCAGCGACACACTTTGTGGCGCAGACACGCAGCTTTCTATGGTTTGAATTAGGCGTACGGTGAGGCCTTTGACCTCAGGTGGAGTGGGTGTTTATAGAAAGGTGTTCCCTGTCCACTGCCCTCCACTGGTCACTGTGAAAGACTGCAACATCACATGAATCAGACGGCTGAAAAAACGGCTGAAAAAACATCTCTCAAGCTCATCCAGCTCTCACACTAAGAGGGGGGAGGATGCAAGAAGCCTTGTTGCGCTGCTCAAATCCTAAAAATAAAAATAATGTAAAAAACGTGTAATTTGTCTTAAAATCCACTTTAAGTCAAACATGTCCGTGGCCTGGTGGTTTTCCTTATTGAGGCTAATTGAGAACACCTATTATTTCCGTCATTTATTTGGATTTAAAAAAATGTTTTAGTTGGTCAGCTGGTGTCAAACTCCATTAAACTTGTAGAAGTACCAACTTCAACAAGGCTAATGATAATCAAAAGTTATTTTCATGGGCTTAGTTGGGGGTTTGCTGTCTTGTCTTGATTTAAGAGTTAGGTAAGGGGGTAAGCAGGATCTGCCAAGCAGGCAGACACGAGTCTGACAGGATGGGGAGTCAGTTTCTGTCCTGGCTGAGGAATGTAAGGTCTGCGGGTCAACTAGAAGATTTACCAGCCAAAGGGGGGTTAGAGACACACCAACACTATTCAACATACACACTCTGTTTACGATGTTTACGTTAAGTCAGGAGTCTGGACATTGGATGTGACCGGATCTTAGATGCGGGAGGTGGAAGGTCCTCCTCTACGCCAGTTTAGGGCCAATAGAAATATTTCCTTCTCTGTCTTTTCGGGTTATAAAACATGATGTTCTTGCTGATGTTAGTTAGTTGTTCTTCCGGCCTGTGTGCTGCCTGAACTGCTCCTGCCTTTGCAAACGCAGCGCTGATACTTGACCTGTGATCTGACAAATAAATTTTCCAGAACGAGAGAAGTCATTCGGCTGAATTTTTGATAACCCCGACCAGGCTCCAAATCTTGAACACGTATTCTTACAATTTGGTGACCCCGACGTGATTTGCTGACCTGGACAAAGAAAGACGGGGACGTCCGTTTTCCGGACCGAGCTGAAAGGACCGGCGGCGTGGTTCAGCATTGACAACAGGCGCCCAAAACAGAATCAGGTGAGCAGACAACCTTTTGTTCTAAATGAATAAAATGTCTGTGATTGGATACTTCTAAAAAGATTTGTTGTCAACTGCAGAATTCGTCTCTGTCCATTGACTGAATAAGGTCGTCATAAGACCACTAAATTTAAAACTAAATTTGAAAATTTCCTGTTGATCACATGTAAAGTATAAGCACATACTCACACTGAATTCAACGTTAGGGAAAGTGAATAAGTGTCCATAGGTTTAGGGATTTAGGTAAAAATATAAATAATCTTAGTCGGTAGAAATCCAAGTTGCAATCCGTGTGGTACGTAGATACCTCTGGTAACTGCAGTCCCACGTTTGCATGCAGTGGACTGGCAGTTTAGAATAGTGTAGGGATTTAGGTTTAGGGACTTAGGTAAATATATGAAGAGTTTAAAAAGGAATGACGGGGCTCACTTGAGTTCCCTGAGGTCGACTCTTAGTCTGTAGAAATCCAAGTTGCAATCCGTGTGGTACGTAGATACCTCTGGTAACTGCAGTCCCACGTTTGCATGCAGTGGACTGGCAGTTTAGAACAGTGTAGGGGTTTAGGTTTAGGTTTAGGGACTTAGGTAAATATATGAAGAGTTTAAAAAGGAATGACGGGGCTCACTTGAGTTCCCTGAGGTCGACTCTTAGTCTGTAGAAATCCAAGTTACAATCCGTGTGGTACGTAGATACCTCTGGTGACTGGGGTCCCACGTTTGCATGCAGTGGGCTGGCAGTTTAGAATAGAGCAGGGATTTATGTTAATCTTAGTCTGTAGAAATCCAAGTTGCAATCCGTGTGGTACGTAGATACCTCTGGTCCTGCAGTCCTACTCGTGTGATTCTTGGACTGGCAGGTTAGAATATTAGATGAAGAAATAAGGACACAGGGAAAGATTTGTTGTTTTTCATACTGGGAAATGTGTGGGTGGTTGGTGTAACTCCTGGTGTTTTACCGAACCTGGAAGCTGGGCGTATCAGGACTTGAAAAAGGACTGAGAATCCGACAGTGAAAAGTGTTTGACCGGATTACACATCTGTGGGGATATGTATTAAAGGGTAAAAGGGAAAATCATAGTTAAATGATGGTGGTATAAATACGAGAGAAATAAAACAATACGAGTGAACTGGTGTTATAAGCCTCAACAATCGAGCGCTGTATTCCTCTAATACAGTAGAAGGTTCTTGATTGGGTTCACAGTATTGGGCATTGAGTCCTTTCTCTTGTGTTCAAAAACCACGTGTGAATAAATAAATAACCTGTGATGAAAATGGAGGAAACCATAACGATATGGGAGAGGTGTAAAGAAGGCACTCTGGGTTTCGCCCTATTTAAGACTTATAAGAGACATATGGATAAAACCCTAGAAAAAGATAGGAAATGTGTAACAAAAATATGTGAAGTGGGTTGCACAGATGCAGGAAAGAGGAATGTTTGGAAGGGAGACAGATTCTCAACCAACAGGCGAGCAGCTGCAGGACCATCTTAGGATGGCGAGAAGAGGAAAAGACCAAGCGCATGCGCTCCTTGCCGTTAAGGGGAGATTTTGTGGAAAAGAGAAGAAAAGTGCAGAAAAGGCAGATGAGTTCTTAGTGGACTGTAGAACATAAGACGGCAATGCAGTTGCCGCAAACCAAAGCAGGAGAAGAGAAAGTGCATGAGACCGGTTGTAAATCTAGTGCGCCTCCTCCCTACTCGACAGGCCCATATGCGAAGGCTAATCGGTTGTTAAATGAACCACATCAGATGCCACTGAGGCAAGGGAAAGCTACTAATCCAGGAGAATCTCAGGTTTTGGTAGTTCAAAAAGGGTTGTTACAGGTAACCCCATATCCACATGAAGAGAATGATGGGGTGGAGAAGGTTTCTGCTTTTCTCTCAGAGACGGTACAATATTTGGAGGACAGGCCCCAGCCGGAGCCTGTCAATTGGAGTAATCCTAACACAACACAGGGTCACTCGACAGTCGTAAAGAAGCGGCAACCCGAGCACAGACCTATGACCTCATTTAATGTAGGGGGAGGAAGAGTTGCAGGAGAAGAAACTTTGTTAGTCATAGCCCAGGCAGAGCGGCAATCAATCACCCGGCGTGGACAGGATGAGCGGGGGAGGCAGGTTGAGTCAGAGGAAGATGAGCCTGGCCCTGCAGATGATTGGGACGAGGAATTTCAGGAGCATGGAGCAGAGCTAGAGTCACAAAAACCACAGTGATCTACTCCGATGGAGCGCCATGAGACAGGGGGGTTAAGAGGTAATAGGAACAGATATTATCAGGGGAATGCAGCCAGAGCGAATGTGCATCAATGTAATGATTTGAAACCTAAGTCAGACGGGATGCTCCGGCCTCTCATCAACTACCACTGTTAACGGCTATTTGTGGAGACGGAAGTGAAAAAACAACATATGCGCCACTCGCATTGTCAGACCTAAGCATGATGAAGCTCGCATTACCTAAAATAGAGAAGGGTGGTGCAGCGTGGATTCGTGGGTTCCTTGCTCAGTGTGTTCCCGGTTTGGGGGATCTTAGAAGAATTTTTGTGGCGTGTGCCTCACTAGCTGACCTCCAGAAGTTAGAGGGGGAAGCCGGGACCTCTGACCTCCCTGACGGGGAGCCTCTGGCAAATTGAGTGTCAGTGCTCTGGCCAAAGCTCAGACTCCAATATCCTGTGAAGGTGGCTACCACAGAACTCACTTATGTTCCCCCACACGACAGTGAGGGTGGAAATAGTTATTTAAGGAGAGTCGGAGAATTATGGGACAACAAGTTAGGGGAAGGTGTCATGGATGATCACAGAACCAAGCTTCTTTTTCGCGGCGCCATAGAGTCAGCTGTCTCGGAGACAATGAAGACCCAACTAAGAGGAATAGTGGGGTTGTCTGACATGAATTTTGATGCTTGGTCCTCACAGATTAAACACTATGTGGACCGGAGCAAAGAA